GCAACGGCCGAACCTGACTGGGCTTCACACCTCCGCGTTATCAATTTGACGTCTCCCCAGCTGGATTCTCGCGCACTCGGAGTTTCTGAAACTAACCACTGTATTAGGTCCTGATCTATGAACTTGCTGAAGTATCCTGATCTACTGATTGCAGTAAGTTGTCCACACTCCATGGAAACTTCTTAGCCCAGCCGTCTGCCATCTGGCGTAGTTGAGAGTTGAGATTTTCGGGTCGCTCTCCGAGGTGGCTTCCCTCAATCAGTGAGTGATCGGTCGTAAAGTACCAATCGGTAGCACGCGGCATGTGTAACAATTGATGGACACTTTCTATGGCTGAGAACAAAACGGTACGCATCTGTGTGAAGCCTCGCTGTCTGAATTTGTTCTTCGCATGATGGAAGCGGAAAGCGATGCATTCTCAAAACTGAGAGAATGGACGTCGCGTCTGACTGATTTTTGGATTCGCTGAGATGGATGACCATACAAGGAACAAATATGGCACATACGAAGCGGGTTCAGTGAGACGGGCACTGGATCGCATCTGTGACCGAGGTCCAGTCCGGCAAGCCCTTTTTTATGGTGATTTCCTTTCTGCCATTTTGCATAGTTCGTCAACAAATGAAGCTTTTGCATTACGACTGGTTGACATCTGACATCTCTGACAAGTCTACCCCAAAGTTGTCCAACTCTCACGCCCTGTAGATGACATAACAGAACAAGAATATCACGGATGTCGACGGAATGACCGACGCTCTGGACTTGTTGAGGTCAATGATTGGTGTGAACAGTGGATATAAGTGAGTGCTACTCACAGATTACGTGGTCTTCTTAGCTGGATGGATGGCAGCCTCATCTGTGGAACTGAAGAACTCTCCGTCCCTCTCTCTGTGTGTGTGTACGGAAGAGATCATGGTGGATGGGATGGCTGTGGTCTTGGAGGCGCGTTCCTTCCAAACTGCGGCTCAACAGGTGGACTTCGCAATAGTCTGTTTCAAAACCTAATGCCCCTTTCACTTCAACATAGAGCTGTCCCTGGCTGCTCTTGTGAACATGAACTCAGTGGTTTTGCACGATGTTGCTCACCAAAATCCTGACTGTAGATTCTCTCTGTAGACCAAAAGGTTTGCAACCCTATGTACACTACGATTAATTACCTAGCATTAGAGATTGCTGTTTTCACATAATTGTCGTTCCGCACAGCTGGGTGTACAGAGGATAAGGGGACATACACAGATGTGCAAGTCAGCTTCCTGAGAGGCAGTGCCAAGATGTGAACGGTAAAACCGAACAGTATGGACGTAAGTGGAAAGAAACGTAAGGCGTCAGCCGCACCAGAGAGGGGAACCCCCAAATGAAGGACACCACCTTTCGGCTGATAAGGGGTTTTGTACGGAGGCTGTCTTCAAATAATTTGTAAAGGATCCATGTTCGATACATTTTGCTGAAAAATCTGCGCGGCAATCAGTTCCAAAGTACGTCACCGGCGGTCAGTGTTGACGAAAGGATAATGAGTCGCTTGAAATCGATAGTAAAGATGCCGCACTTTAAGAGCCCGTCGTGATGGCGTCTTAAGAGAGGGTGTGGCATCCAAATGACACCTTTTTTCAGGAGATATTTTGTACGTTGCACTTCGGTATAAGGGTAAGCAAGTAGCTTTGAACAGATGGTTGCAACAAATCGACAGCGAGATAAATTCGAAGTGTCAAGTGTCAGCGGATCCAATGAACAAAATGTGGATCATTCGGGTGACCGTTACTCGTTTAGGAGCTTTACCGTACCAAAACTGACAGCTCCACTCAACCAGCACCAGTCAATCTATTGATAGATCGCTGTCTGACATGCAACGGGATGCGTCAGCTACGCGTTTCACTAAATGCAGCAGTGATTTGGGATCCAGGCAGGCAACAGTTGTGAGTATTTGGTGACCAGTTGCATATCTATACTGTTTCAACACAAGTCCTCGCTAGAAAAAAGTACAACAGCTTTCGCCACTTGATCTGTATGTATCATGTGTACTGCCTGAAAGGCAGTAAAAAGCTCACTCACATTACGCTTTGAAGATATCCCACCCACAAATGCTACTCAGATAACTTGCGAACCTCGCATTCTTGTGTGTTTGCTTGAGACAATCGATTAGGGACTAGTTTTGAGAATGGAACGATCTGACTTGTCGACGTGAAACATTCAAACGGAATCTGCAAGGGCAACCCTATTTACGCAGTGCACAGACATGTGACTGATTTTGTGAGGATAAATCACACGTGATTTACCTGGAACCATGTTTCATTATAGTCTTAGAGAAACACGGTTTCATCACCAATGGTCGGTGAGTATTTAATTTTTAAAAAATACCGATAAACAAACACGGAAGTTCCACATATTAGACGTGTTTTCGTTTGATTATCGTACATGCAGAGGCAAGCAATCCGTGGGGCCGGGTTAATGCCTCTCATCATTGAAAAACGTATTCGCCTCCCCCCTGGTTGTCGACGAGATAGCTGTTGACCCTGTGACCGAGCTCCGTATGTCAACGTTTCCACACCATTACGCGGTTGAGTGAACATTATTCAGCTTGCGTTTACACGGAAGACATCCTATGATACCGATTGTGACAGGTTATTTGTTCATCTATCTTCTATTGGTACAGTTTTGGGCTTCGTCGAACCACGGGTCCTTTGTCCTTCATGATCGATAGGTCGGATCAATTTATTCACGTTTAATGATGGCTCCTTTTGTGAATTATCAAGGCAAAGCAATAGCAGTGGTGGAAGCCTTTCACTTCTAGCGACATCACGGCGACTAGCGGCAGCGTACCTTGAGGAAAACATGAGGAAGTACCGAGCTGCTCAAGTTCAATGAAAAGCATCTGAGATGTTTAGGTTGGGTTGGAACCGTGGACCTTACTGTCGCTAAATTTGCGCCTCAGTCATTGATTCATCTTGTCTAGGCTACCTTGTGGAATCTTCTTCAGATAAAATCGTGTTAATCTTGAATGTCATTCACTGGAACCTGAGAAGACTGATACCGTCTTTTTACATCAAGACTATGTTCGTCGAATCCGGTAGAAACATTCATTGTTGTTCGTCGCAGTGTTTGCAAGATGTCACCATCACCACCGTACTCAATGCTGCTGCAGTTTGTCTCAGTCTGCTTCAATATTGCGCAAATTTGGCTTTAGTTGTGACAACTTGGATGAGAATTGTTTTATCTACGACCTTGGACGCTTTTCGTGTACACCTCGTTTTGTAGTTGTCAATGTGCCAGTTCAACGACGAGGAAGTCCAAGAATGTAAGTTTTCCATCAATTTCATTTTCCATCGTGAAGTGAATGTCTTCGAGAATGTTCTCTATCATGTTCGCTGCAGTTGATCTTATTTAGATGGCGCCGAAATGTCATTCACATAGCAGCTTTTGCAACCCGTTGGGCTGCTTCCGCCTACAGTTCTGGGACACTTCAAACGAACGCTGTTTAGCTGTGCGACAAGTGAGTTGACTTACGTCAAACAGAACAATTCCGACCTTATCACGCTATTAATAAAACACGTGACGTGAACAGAGAGTGCCTGTCACGTGTGTACTCTTTGTGAATCAACCAGACCAAAGGTGGTGCTTTGATGTCTCTGATAACCTAATGGACCGCCTCCACCGACTCACAAAGGAAAAATGACACTTGTTGAATGCACAGTAGGTTACAAAACGCTGCTCTTACTTGCTTAATTCCAGAATTGTGCTATTCTTCATTGAGGCACATTAAAAATGTGTCTACTCACGAGATTTTAAACTTCCAAGGATTGGGCTGGGTCGATGATGAGTAATTTTACCCAGCTTGCTTACCACCACTGGACTCACAGCACAAATGTTGATCACGTACCCTGAAAGCAGGACAAAACATTCATCATCCGGAAGAAGTTAGCGGACATTTCGACTGGCTGGTCGGTGACGAATACCCTTTTGTCTCCATCTGTTTGGGATTGAACGCTTACAGACTTTTAGGCGGCACAATCGACTGAGTAATGTTCACTCCAGCCTTCAGTTGAGTTCTCATCGTCACATTTCACTTGTTTGTCGGACGCATCAAATTTGGCATTTGGTCGTAACCCAGAGGAATCTTGGTATGCTCCTTTGTTTGTTGACATCCTGACCACCACGGATGGTGCAATTCAAGTCATTCCAAGATTGGTTGCAAGATATTTACAAGAACACGCACATTTTAGCGATTTCCTGATCATATGTCACCAGATCTGGTGGAAAAATGAGTGACAAACGTCTACCTATATTAGACAGCTTGTGGCAGGAAGTAGTTATTACCCAGACTTCCGGACGTGTGAGGGGTCACCAAAGTCTTTCGTACACAAGGCGATGTCGGTCAGGAAAGTCAAATCTCCCCATTCGTGTTTAAATTCGTGATCGATGAAATCATGAGACGAACGCTGAAGATCTCCTAAATACAGAGATTCAAATAGCCTGTGGCGAAAAGCTTGCCAATCTGGATTCCGCAGACGACATTGTTCTCATCTTCGAAGAGGAGGAGAAGGCGCAAGTGCTTTTGGATGAACTGACCGAAGTCATCCCGTTCTTTGCGCCCGCAAAGTGTAAGGTCATGTTTCTGGACATGCAGTCACTGAACACGCCACTTACCATCCAAGGAGAGGTATATGAATTTGCGGCAAGTTTTACTTATCTTGGAAGTTGTATGAGTTCAGATTATAGCGTGATAGATGAGGTAAATGCATGAGTCTGCAAGGCTCGGGTCGCGTTTGCTAATTTGAGATACCTACAGTGTGAAAGTGGTGTATCCCTGAATCGTAGGGTCGCGTTTGCTCAAGCTACAGAGCGGGCTGTGAGATTTGGCCTGTTCGAGCAGTGGAACTGACACGTCCTCAGGTGTTCGACAATCGTTGTCTCAGAAACATAGGTCGTACGCGTTAGTGTCGGCGTATCCGTAGCGAGACAACTAGGAAGCGAGTTTTAGGTTGTGAAACTGGGATCTCCATTGAAGAATGTGTCCAGAATCAGAAGCTGGGTTGGTTAGGACATATGGTGCGTATGCCGAACCATAGTTCGCCGAAGAGAGGACTGTTTTGAAGATGGTACACGGTCCTTTGTTTTCAACTTTTGGTAGAGGGTGAATACCGATCGAGGTCAAATGGAAACTTTTTAAGCGTTACTATTTATATCCTTGTACAAACCTTCCAGGATAAAAGGACGTTGTCACATGCACCAGCCGGCCGAATGACAGATGCATCCAGTTGGAAAAGCTCATAGCATCTCGAAGGTTACGGGGAGATGTTACAATCGTTGCTGAATTCCTGTTCATTGATGAGATGTAGGAGAACAGAAGAAATGCAATGGATTTGAGTAGCAAACGTCAGCAGCATATCAGTGACACCGTCAAAGTGAGTTGCAAGGCTCAGGTATGTAGACAATATGACGTTGAAATATCTAAGCAGACTTTGAATATGGCCCTATGAGGGCTTTTTTTGGAGGGGGGGGGGTAACTTTGCTGTTGAAGAGGACTAGTCCCCGATCGAAGTGGTAGAGCTTTTCGTGGTGCACAAGAACAAATTCAGCCTCTCACTCGTTCAAAGGAGCGGTTGATGTAATTAACCAACACAACTGACAAACCCAAGAAGCTTAGCGTGGTGCATGCAAGTGATTTAGTCCAGATTATGTTGTTTTTATGGTCGATTATTTGTTAACTAAGCCGAGCCACTTAGTTACAGGCATTTCACCCGTAATAGAAATGACGCCATCAATGTGTAGTACGGTAGCGGTGTTCCAAAAATGACGCTCCGATACACCACCAAACACTGACAACGTCAGTGACACGTCCACACTCCAACTGCTTCTCAACTCGGCTGCATCGCGGACCCATGATTAAGCGGAATGGGGAGTTTAAGTCCTTATCCCCTCTTGTGTTTTACCATGTAGGTGTAAGTTGAAGTTCAAATTATTGATTTGTATGTGCTCTACGCCCCTCCTAACGAAGAAGCAGCTTTTATTGTCGAAATGAGTTGGCTTTATTAAGATTTCGCATCCCCAGAGCACGTGTTGGCCTACAATAGATTGGTCTGGACGTTGTGGTGAATGCAATCAACTTTCCAAATATGACTGACGCTCGAGTGAAGACAGCTAAATTATTCAATTAATTAACTAATTAATAATAAATCAAATGAAAAAATAAAATGAATACTAAATAATAAATTAAAATGAATGAAAATTAATACATTAATTCAAAACACAAGCTGCTTTTCAGTGATTCCATTCTCACATAATCGCAGTCATAATTAAACCGCACGCAAGCACAGCCACGTCAGAAAATAAGTCATTAGATATTGAACAATTTCTAGCCACCCAGTATGCCGAATACAAGCAAAATTCCTTGAACAGACAGATCGATAAATCGACAAGTTATCTACCGATTCATTTTCGATGCGCACCCACAGACTAACGCCTAATGCGTTGCCACGTCGATAAAGATTTTTCTCAGCGGTAGACAATTTCCACAAAGAAGCAAAACGATGCTGGTCAATGGGGACAGCACAAAACACAGGAGAGAAAAAATATCACACCGTACGGCGGCATGATTAGTCATCGAATTGAGAAAGAAACTTTTGTCTTGTTGGAGCGAACGGACTTCCAAACGACACCAAATATCAGTGGTGTAAGAAGCTAACCTTATCTGGCATTATTTGTTCACCACTCAGGAATGCATCCTTTGTAAAATCGACACTTAAGAATACAGAGGCACCGAAAAGAACGCTGTACATCCATTTCCTGGAGATTATCACGTGAGCCTAGTCTCGGCATCCATACCATCTGGTGGCCAATTAGGAAATGAGGCTGACGGGTACCGGGGAACTCGGCCAACCTGATGTACACGAAGCAGACTGAAATCTATCCCGAGTTGCCCAGTGTTTTATCAACCTTATGATTAGTATCGAATAGCAGCCGTAGTGACATCTGTGCTGAACTTTCAGCTGTAGAATACTAAAAATGTGAGTTCAGGTGGGTGTCAGCTGAGCCCGCCGTCAACAGCAAATTACTTTACAAACGACAGATGTAAGTCTGCACCTGTTGTGGTGTTACGAGCTTTAGTGAAGCAGGGGTTGCATGCAAGAACGTCAACTGGTAGATACATTCTTCGCTTCTTGGCCTCCAGGAGATATCTTCTTTGACGTTTCTGTCTGAATGAATCACGGTCAGAGTGAAGTGTCATCGGCTGAGATATTGCTGATGAACGGCGTTGTGTGGATTGGTGTTTAGGATGAAAATTCATTCGAAAGCCCTCCCACCAGCGCACACTGAAAAAAAAACATCTAGCATAATTAGCGTAGAAGCGAACAAATCCAAGCCCTGTGGATGCAGAGCATGCATCCAAAAAGAGTCCACCCCATGGGCATCAAGAATGGTGCTGCTGATGGACGGTTGGAGACTGGTAAGAAGAACGGCGTCACTGGTGAAACATCTCCGAATAGAACGACGGAAGGTTTTCCGCGTTTGCCAACCGGGCATAAACACTAGCTGGTGTGCACATTATGGCACACCTTTCTCGTGTAGAGACACTACCACGTTTTTCAACACGGCGAGTGCCGCTGTTAGCTACTACATTCGTTGTCGCAAGACGTGCAAACGTTGCGATATGACCAATTACACTCTAACGGATACGCCGTGTAGGGTGGGTGACCAGAATCAAACATCGGGTAAGAAAACTGACCGCCACCGAAGGACTGAGGAGTTGTTGTCGAAGAAGCTGTGTTAGCGAGGGTAGACAGGCTTTAACAACGGTTTCGTGTGGATCAATCAAAGCAAGATCAAGGAGCGGTCGAACCACACTGACTGACTGAATACCGATCCCGGTGACCAAAAGGATAATCTGTCGGTACAATGATGTTATAAGTCCATAATATGTCTTTTTGTTCAGGAACGTTACCATATGGGATAGTAAGTTCCCGCTGATGTGCTCTGGACCAAAGAATGCGACCAGCCGAGCCAAACTGCCGGTGTTCACCATGGCATGCGGGATTCAGCGATCGACGTCAGCAAATCGATCCTGGATATGTGCACGACAGATGGGCGTCATAGGTGTTCGTAGCCGTTTCCAGTACTGCAAACTGATTGGTGTACGGAGATTTCTGGGGCGCATTGCTGACGCCCATGCCACTCAAGCCACGACGACGGGAGAGTAGATTCGATGAATCCAGGAAGCGTAGGGCACTTTTACCAAGCACCGGAAGACAGCATGAATAGGTCAACGGCAGTTTCACTCTCGGATCAGCACTTATTGGCGGGGGTTTTGGACTGATTCGCTGTGTATTCGGTGACTTTTCTCAGAATCTGAGTGAGGCACTTCAGCCCCAGGCTCTGAATCTCGCCTGAATAAACGGGAGACGTGAGATCCACGCGGTACGGTATGATGTGATCCAAAAACAGGGGGTCATTCATGCATTTTGACAGCTCCAGGTAGCAGAGTAAGGCGTTCAGCTTACCGTACTCTAATAGCCCACGTTCGACAAACGAAACGGTTGACGTATCTTCTTAGACTTGGCTTCGCTTGTTCACGTCGTGAACTGGGATCGCATCTGCCTTTCGGAATGAGGACATTAGCAATGCCATGGTGCTTGGAGTTTGGGCAATGAAACAGTTACCAGAAGGAAGTGGAACACACGACTCAGGTACTCAAACTTGTCTCCAAAAACGCCAGTTGCTCATCCACTTAATCAAGTTCTGATCATGTCACCTCGATTGGTGCCGAAACGTTTGCAAACTAATTGCCAGCGACTTCTAAACCATCAGTCGACTTACATGACAAGATGCAGTCAGCGAAGCAGATTTGCATCCGTTTTGACTGACGAACCAACGCGATGTCCACCGGCTTCATTCCCGCTGCCCGCAAAGTGTCGAAATAGGCCTGGAAGGTAGCTGTGGTACGATACAGTCCAGGCGACTTGCTTCCTGTGCTCACCAGATGCGATCGCTGCTTCGCAAATAAAAACAGTTTCACGTACTACCGGTCGCCTGGTTATCATGACGCTGGAAGAATCCATTCACACATAATATGGAGAATACGATACGGTTTGGGACCCATCGCGAATGGATGACACACGCTACAAGTGAGCGGCGGTCAGCCGGCGTTTGAAGAGGAGGAATAAACGATTATGAGTGACTGAAACAATCTGACTGTATAATTTGACCACTTGTCTGTGCCTGCAAAGTGAAACAAGACCGGATGTAAACAAACCGATACTTTGTGCTTCCAGACAAGCCAGTCGGATCGGTTTGTTTAGTTGGACGGATGCGCTAACCACAGTGGTCTCGTGGAAGCTAGAAGTCTCCGTCGAACAGGGATGGAAACGGGCTTTGCCAGCCGAAAAAATAGCGCCGATATGATTTCAGCTTGTCTGTCAGGGATGGAGCTTGCGACTATACGGTGATTTGATTTAAAGTCGAGTTTTCTTAAAATTTGTCTGAGACCAATCTAGATGTGTGTTTTTTCTACGGCAGAAAAAACTTTTCTCCAACCTCCCTCCGGAAAATAACTGAAACAGCTAATGATCAGGTGTGAATTTACGCATTCGTAAACCTCTAACTCAGATGTTAAGTTGCCGTGAATTCGGTTGATTGTTTCACTGATACTGTGCTCCTGTGACATGTTATCTTTGAGACCTTTGTGGACAGACAGCCATGCGACCTTCTTGTTGAAAGTTTTCTTGTGTTTCACTGTTAAGCTAGTCAAGTGGATGCCTGGCCCGCATTCCTCGAGAATTGACTAAAGTGAATAATACGTATTAGCTGATAGCTACATAAACCATAGTAGTTCAGCTGTAGCACCCTTTCGGTGCCTAGCTGCCATGTTACCAGAAGGAGGCACGAGGGCTAGAATACGGCCAGGTTACCCAGGCCTAGACAGGAGAAGTCGAGAGGCGGGGGGCGGGTTCGAACCCTGGATCTTCCCATCAGTAAATTCGCGCTCTAACCGCTGAACCACCCCGCAGGTTGATGGCTCAAGAGCCGTTCCGTTCTGTCCATCTTCCAGTACCATTCCATCTGGTTTACTCAAGGCGCAGGTAGTCCAATCGGATGCGCATTCCCCTCAGCGGAAATGGCATTTGGAAGTACTCGGTGCGATCGGACTTACATCGGCTATAGTCATTCTGGAAAGGGAGGCCAAGCAGTATGAGCCGAGCTAGACTCTAAGGGACAAACATTACAAAATCTACCTAGATCTTGCCATCGTGTGTTGTCTGTGTCGAACCGGTGTCAATATCCACGGACGAAAATAATGGGTATGGAAGCAAGGTTTAGAGAACTTCTTAGAACTGGTCAGAAGGGTATTAGGATGCAGGTGAAAGGAGGACGGGGTTCTCTAGGATAGACGAACCAGCTGTCACATAGTTCCCAACTCGGTAGGAGATAACTGGCTGTGTCATGCAGCCAACGGCAGTCTTCTGTCATAAACTGTCGCCTTCGCTGCTCTCATTTTTTGTCATACTGGACAAACTGATGCATGACACTGGACGGAAGGGACCATCTCGTGGCTTTCAATTAGTCGGCCTCCTCAGCCTTGGTGAACGAAGCTGCGGCAGCTGGACTCACTACGATTCGGTGCAAGATGCTAACCAATTGAACTGAACTAGCAATATCTGAAAGTTTTTTTTGAATTCCTCGACAGAGAGCCGTCACTCTGTTGTTCTCACCGTGTCCGGTGCTTTGCCAGGAAGCCACTCCATTGACAGTGAACTCTGGGCAACAGAGGGAATACTTTTGTGGTGGCAGCTCTCAGGTGGTTAGGCGGGGTGCTTAGACTGGACAATAAATGAATATATATGTAAGTATCTCCAAGTTTTCACCGTCTGTGCACCCAAAATTTTAGTCCAGAAATTGATGTGATTTAACATGCTTGTGAACATGTGGTCAACAGGCAATGGTAGAACACCACAGAGCCTGGCACCAAACAGAAAACCTGGGTACGAGCCACTAAAGACGATAAATTATCACAAACATGTAATCATATGTAACAAAGGAAGTAACTGGGCATATGGAGAACTCAAGAAGTATTGAGCTGTCATGCGTTGCGTCATTTGAAGCACAATTTAATGGATATCTCACAAATGAGATTAATTATTGACCAACCAGCCATTTCGAAAACCGAAAAATAGCTTTCCTGCGGTTTTGTTGAGACCACTGTCTTGAAGGGAGCTCTGATGGGAAAATTCCATGCCTAGAGTCGTCTCTCAATGGACGTGGTTCTTCTGAACGGAAGAACAGTATATGCATGGTATCGTCACGGGATTTCCTGGTATACAACCATACTGAACTAACCGCAAGTTACAGAGCCCCCTGCCATTTGAGTAGTCGGCCGCATTTTGCCCACTGTGCTAAGCGATTTGTTTGGAATTGGACTTTTCAGCTCAGGGGAAAAATCCAAGGTACTCGTGCTCAACTTGTCGTGTCAGATAGCACGCATCCCAGGAGACTCCATCTACATTCCAAATCAGCTGTCCTCTCAGCTGTAACGTCCTCCCGGTGTCTAGCTGCCATGCTTCCCGAAGGAAGCACGAGGGCTAGACAGAGGGAATACTTTTGTGGTGGCAGCTCTCAGGTGGTAAGGCGGGGTGCGCGTCCGAACCACGGACCTTCCGGTCAGTAAATTCTCGCTCTAACCACTTGGGCCATCTCGCCCCCAACTCAGTCGTCCGGATGGTCTTAGATAATCTGGGTCACTGTAAAATTCAGAGAACAAACTGGCGAATATTAATTCCTTCGTGATCTCTTCTACTGATCAGTATAGATCGAACGATTATGAAACTAACATTGAGCGATCTATACAAGCGAAACAGGGATAAAGTGGAGCATTTTACCTGCAGGGTTCCCCTATATTATTGACCCACTTTCAGAAATAGCTCGAGCTCGATTTACAATCCATCAATCTGTATTGAACAGTAGAGATCGTGGGAACATTAATTTTCGTCAGTCTGCGATCTGAACCATAAGAAGGTTGAAAACGGAATACACTATTGAAAAGGTTGCGGGAAATTCCTCGACACGCTTTCGCCTTTTTTGAGGGTCATCAGGTAAACGCAGTCTCCGAGTTTCTATCAAACTTATGTTCTACTTGACACGAAGTTGCACGAAACTAGCGAAATACATTCATTTACAAACATCCTAAACGATATATTCAGCTGGGTTTCGGGTGATTGTCTGGCAAGACCAAATTTGTTTGCAAACGAGGGTATTTCGCTCATATTGAAAACGGTTTTATTACAAGCCCGTCTGAGTTATCTCCGACGTGTGGTATGGGAAGGCGAATAAGTTGTTCAAAATTGTAACTCATTAAACAGGCGGGTGTTTACAAGGTTGATTTCGCTTCCTAGTGCTTCAAGGGATCAATCAACAAGAAGGCCCATTCTCTGAAAAGTTTTGCCAATGAATGTGTGCACTTGATAGCAACGTCTATGTTGAAAGAATATCTTGGGGTTTTTTGTCAAACTTAAATTAAAATTCAAGTCTATACTGATTGCTAGTTAGTCTATCTGGTAAGTCTGTTGGCAAGTTGATTTGCACAACAGACCATCCCATTTGTGATTGGCCTATCGATTTATTCGCCTGATCACGTGCGCGCCGGCGACATAGATGTCGGTACTTGCTGCCTCCGATCCCCATAGAAGTAGGTTCGATTCTAACACGATTGTGAATGTGGACATGCGTAGATAGTTCTCACATGCGTAGTGACGACAACACGAGGAGAAGCTGTGTCGATTTAACTCACCGTGTGAGCTGTTGTTGTTGTCGTTTACCTGTGGGTAGATTGAGCAGAACTAGAGCGCCTTAAATACAATCGATAGCTGTCAACTCTCCAGGCTCGCATTCTCACAGGTTTGGACGATGCATTCCAACTTTCTGACAAGCCTGAAATCCACCAATAAACCAGACAACAGGTTGTTTTGCAACCCAGCGGCACCTCAAATCAAGACTGAAAAAGCCAAATTCGTGTGGAATATTAGAAGCATCTTTTCCAAGATGGGCATAGAAAGCGAAGCACTAAAATGAACTCCTAGTTAGGTGAGAGTGAGAAATCGATTTGTTATGTTGATATAATTGGGTGCCCGTGATGTAACCCACACCAGTGCTTGTGTTCACAGGCAGATGATACTCCGGAAACAAGGAGAAGACGGAATACTTTCTTTTACAATCCTCATCGATGTCCATGGGAGACTCCACAGAACCCATACTCTATGATATATTCCAACTGAAGATGCTATACAAAGTCTGTTTCGTGCTTTTGTTGGCACGATATTCGAGACATCGGAGTGTATTTTCTCAACGTTAAACACTACTCATAAATTTGATGAAAACTCTTCGGCCATTACCACGACCGTTTTCGGTCTTGCTGGGGCTCATCAAGTAGGACCTACTTGATCGGCGAGTCGCATGCAGTTCGGAAAGCCTGTGGATCGCAAACGAGTGGGTGAACGAAAGAATTTAGCACTTCGGAAATTCCCGCATTTTTTCGATTTTAAAACACTCTCAATGCGGATCCCAGAGATACCGAATGATATGAGTAGTAAAGTGAGCATTTCTTTAGAAATAGAGTAGCTTTCAATCTTTAGGCCTGATTAGAGGTGTTCTTTTGTGCTGAACAAGGAACGGAGTAGAAAAGGATTTATCCGAATGATCGTCCCTCAATGAATTGTGTTCCAACAGGTATCAATCATCAACCATAAATTCGGATGCTTCGTGCAGGGAATTATGTCGCCGACTCTTTGAAATTATGTTTTCATCACCCGTTGAAAAGGTCCTTGTGACTGGTGCTCGATGGCATCCTAAATAACACACCGCAGTATATATATATATATATATATATATATATTATGTAAGACCAATGTTCTTGACTACACAGCGAGCATTGTATTCAGCTTAAATATCGATTAATCAGAAAGCTTCTATCGAACATTGGTCTTACATAAAAGCCTCTGTTGGAAAGGATTCATAGCCCATATATTAGCTGGATCAAGCCGATATTTAGTACATACACCGCGCATTCTTTTGAGCCCTATCCGCGATAGAATACCAAGCACATTCCATAGATCTGTCATCTACATATTGACAATCGGTTGCTAAGATGCACTGCAATCAGTGATTCCCAGATCGATTCGCAAGGAGAAAAGGACTGGTATGTACACGTAATACCTCGAAATCTACATTGTTATTCTGACAAAAATCCTATGATCGGCATCGTCAACATGGCGAGCCAAGAAGTTTCTTGGAGGCGACAGGTTTGCCGACAAAAAAGATACTAAAAACAGGTACTGTGGTTTGTTCTCCCATGAAACTCTCGTTATGTCACCCATAACTGCCTGGGCGTTACCTCCTTTTCTTAAGTCGTCGCAGGCCAAAGAAATGTCTCTTGGGATCGACGGCTCGTTGTAAACCGTCTACAAAAACTGTCCCAATCAATAATTACGCGAGTATACACTTTCGTGTAACTACATACCACCGAAAAAGACCATAGTTTGAGAAAATCTATCCAGATGAAGGATGTTTCAGGTGACCACACTTAGTGAACTCGCCTAGTTGAAGAACTTCATCGTAGGACAGTTTTGCAACAAATCCGATGACTTTCAGATAGTTCTACTTGTTTGTGTAGCTGGAAATGAACCTGAAATTACATCAACTGTTACCATGACGAAAACCAAACAAGATACAACTAGCAGGTATGCAAAATCCCGATTCTTGCTTGCATGTTGCCATAGTGACCGCCCAAAAGAAACAGGTTCGGATGGGTAAACTGGGGTAAGGACAGGACGGGACTGACCTGAAACGCTAGCAGACTGTTTAAGGTATCATGCACTCTGATACCCTCTTCCCGAATTCTAGCATCTGGGAAGTAAAACTGGGATACAAAACGTACGGTTAACCGCGATAGATTTGGAATGTTTATTGACTGCAGCAAACGAAAGAAGTCTTAAAATTAAGGATAGGATCACGTGACTAACACCTTGGGACTTCCTATGGTTATTTCACCTACTAATGTTCGCGAAAATTTTGTCGGTCGTGCCATCCAAAAGAATGTCAGGGATGACGCCATACGGACATTTTAATCATGGCACAGCAGAAGGCTAAAAAAGAAGTCTGGGTAGAAAAGCTCCGGTCATTAACATCACGTGAAAGGCAGCCAATTGGTCCGAAAAGACGAATGTTCAGAAAAAGGACAGTCAAGCAAAACTGTGTAAGAATTCGAAGCATTTTGTGAATATGTTTATGTTTGAAATGATTAAATGAAATGATTAAATCCTCGAGGTTTGAAATGAAGCATTTATTTGAAAGACTTCTTTTGCATACATGAGTGAAATTAGCGGTTCACTTCCCATCAAGCGAATTAACAGTGCACTTAATCCGCGAAATTGTTGTGGACGTGACGATGGATATAGGTGAAAAAAATTCCAGAAGCAGTTTTGACCCTTGCGGACACCTTCGTTCACAATGAACTTTGGTCTTCAACCTGAAAGAACTTCAAGATTCTATCAGGAAGGTCAGATTCCTGAAAGTAACTTCAGAACGTCCGGAATCCACTGCTCCACCAAAATCTCAACAGGAAAGCCGGCGAGCATCCAGGCCAGTCAATCATTCAATCAATTCAGCAAAACCTGATGAGTGTTCTTGCACGCCACAGAAGCGCGACCGAAGGTGATCAGCGTTCAGGCATTTCATAGAGGAACCATCGATGTTGATGGGTTTTCACTAACGCCTATCAAACAGCCTGAATCAATGTCAGAAAGTCCCCTCTAAATAGCGTGGGGTCGTTGTAACTTTTGCTCTCACACACACGCAATCGCTTGTTCGGAATATATCTGTTGTGTTCCCTTCTGTGAGCCTTTTTCTCTCCGGTACTAGGCACTGGAGCGGGGTAGCAGCAGATACCACAGGTCGGCGAATCCGCAGGTATAACAGATTCCAAGCTCGTCGCATACGTGCTTCGTAGCAATGTAGTTAGACGTCACCTGAAGGATGAACAAGGTGATCCACAGCCATTCAATAATTCTCAACATCAGAGACGTGACAACTCTAAAGAATACAAAAGACCGTAGGTCATCACGTCAAAGTCAGGTGGAAAGAGCTATGCACCAACAGCTCCAGGACTGTCCGAAATTTTTTAATCTAGCTGGAAAATGATGTAAGATTCGAGGCAGCTTATCCAAACTCGTGAAATTCCAAATGAAGGAATCATCGGCTGTCTGGTAGCCGCGCATGAGGGCTGCGAATCTGTCAGCTTTTCCAAGCCTAAACATAAGCATTCGAGATCACAGGGTCAGTTTCGAACTGCAGAACTTTCGCTCAGTAGATTCACGCGTTAACCAATGAGCTACATTACAAGGTAAAGCAGAGTTTCTTTCTTAATGTTGCTTTTCGGTTTTCATTGTTTCATTGTCATCATCACCACCATCACAGTGATAGAATAGTAGCTGAGCGCATCAATTGATGAGTATAGACGAGGTGTAGGGTTGTTCCAGTGTCAGAAACTAGCGCCCGGATGTCATTGAAACCATGGGAAAGAGAGCCTTAGTAAAGGGTGAAAAATAAGGAGAGGAAAGGAAACTTTTTAGAGAGCCCCAGTGGCACAGAAACGTTAAGAGCAAGGTGCCTGGAACTCCCAAAATCATCAGGGTAAACAAATCTGAGAAGCACGTTGGAGAAAGACATCATCGGGAAGGCGTGAAAAACCCACAGCGCCTAGATGCATAATACCCGCTTTGATTTAACGCTGCCAAGTCACGGTTTAACCGTTATTCTTGCTTGTCGTAAAATGCATCGAGCGCCAGGTGTGGCTAGGTGAACCTGTTCCTGCTAATCGTCTGTTTTTCTCTGAATGGGTGTTACTTGTCTCACAAAGGGGGATACTGAAAACAGCCAGCCCACGATGAACACTAACGCCCGAGTAGCGCCGGTTGCCGTAGGCTCAGCTTGTATTGAGAAGAAATTGAATAACAAGTGAAGCTCAAGCCATGGAGAAGCGTGCAATAAAATATTGATCCTATTAAGTGAAGACAAATAAGCTTACCCACCAAATCAAGAGGTTTGCCGTGGGGGGAAAAACAGAACTTCTGATAGAGTGGAATGAAATCCGTACTGGTCACAGTGTGCACTTTGTTAGGAGCAAAGCTGCTGTAACGTACCGGATTTTGTGTGACTTTATACGAATGAGTGGGCTCTTGAGAAAAGGTCACTTCTATAAGGAAACGAAAGCCTATTCCCCTGCGCCTGTCTCACTTGAAGGGGATTACTGTGTTTGAAATCTGCTTTGTCTTTTCCCCTATTTCTTGAAGATATCATTGCAGCCAAGTAATGTTGCTATCTCGGAAGAGTCAGGATAGGAACGCTTAAGGTCCTAGTTAGAAGGCCAGCTGGACATGAGATGCACAAACCCGCATGATATCGAAAATAAACTTTGGGGTATACACTTTATACTAGCCGGAGGGGTTCTATGCATACTACCCGAAACCCAAACAGCGGTTCTTATCGATCCGTGATGCGTAAATCTATTGCAGTGTTCCAGCTAGGTTCTTTAAAAGGTTTTGTGGACTGCGCCAAAATGATGAGCCCCAAGAAGGGCAAAAGCGGTCGTGGGTTGTCGAGGCGTTTTCAGCAACCTTATAAGTAGTGCATTACAAAACTAGACTCATGTTTTGCAATGAGTCAAGTGAGTCACGAGATCTTCCCAAAGGGTGCACGCAACACAAAAATGATTGTTTCTTCATCCCCTGGAGGTCCTTTCCCTGCGTGATGCTGACCTTAACTGAGACGCCTTCACTGATTTCAAGCCTCCATTCATTCCACAACCGCGTAACTGGCTCAGCACCAGCATGCAACTTTCCGCACGCGAAGAAATTCGATGTGAAAAACTCCAACCGTCGTACGGATGAAACCGAATTTCAGCAACTATACTGATCAGCTTCGCCGACAGACAGATGAGGGCAACGTAACATTTTGATAACTGGCTCCTGTCAATCAATCCGTTTATCTCATGCAAGTCATCAATCACAAGTGGTCCACATTAGCTGTCAGATCATTTGTCTCCAGGTGACTTCTCCTCGCACTAAGGTCAAATCTAAACTCAAGATCAAACTCAACAGAACCCTGGGAAAACGCCTTCCTGCATGTGAAATATTCCAGCAGTTCTGTCATGTGACCAAGTCACTTACGTTTTACTCATCACTTTGAATGAAGCTTTTGTGTCCAGAATCCACATCAAATAGTTCTAGCTGGCAGAAGCAGTTTCTGAGTATCGTCTTCGGGGCTAACCGATGAAAAGGAGTTCTGTTCGATACATGTACATCTTTGTAATGTACTACTCATAAGGTTGCTGAAGATTCGTCGACAGCCCACGACCGTTTTCGCCCCTCTTGGGGCTCATCAGGTAGGCGTGGTCCCCGGGTTTCCGTCAACCTTATGTTCTACTTGAAACAAAATTGCACGAAATTAGTGAATATACACTCATTTGGTCACATTCTCAGCACTTGTTATTCCAATCATCAAAAGGGTAATTAAAACACAAATGCGCAAATTGGTGCTTCGTTTATGAAATGAAAAGGGCATACGATCTTGAGATTCCTATGCTCACTGGAACAACGGATTTTGGTGTACGTGTATCCGTTCGACTTTCACGAATTTGCCAGCATGCCGAGCTGTCACGATGAACGTCGACGAGGAACCCCTCAGCCAGTCTTTATTCGACTTCCTGCGTGGCTACTTTCGGTTGTGTTAAGTATTTCCAAATAGGCTGTTTTGCTTCAAACAACCGGTATCCGTTTATCCCTTTGGCACTGGCTCGATCACGTGTCTATGTCACTGCCATAATGAGTGCCGTGTTGATAAAAGGACGTTATCGATACTTTGTTTAGCTTTTTTGTTCCCTTCACTCACCTCTCGCTGTCTCCATTCTAGCCAATCGCGGAAGGCCGGTCCAACTGCATTTGTCTTGTCGCGATCGATCGGACTTTGCAAGCAGTCTGGATAGAATCACATTACTGACCGAAACTCCGAGACACGGAGAAGATAACCATCTTATGAAAGTGACGTGTTTACCAGTTCTGTGGACAACCGGTCATATTGGTCTGGGGAATTTAAGTGATCCAGGTGAATAACTCAGTGCTTGACTGCAATATTCCAATCTTTTCAGACGTAATATAAGACCTGGCGGGAAATTCGGTCCTACACCCCAAATAGTGGACAACGTGTAAAAACCAAGTCAACTAACTGCCTACACCCATACCCGGATTGAAAATTTATTGATATTTCTGTAGGAAAATCGATGAATGGGTGGGGATGTAGTTTGACACGATTGATTTGTTCAGCTGAGTGGAATTTACAAAGGACTGATACAGAAAACTCATTTGTGGATCGATAGAAAACCGACCGGTAGGTATGACGATAGCTGATCAAAGTTCAGAAATTTGGACATAAAAAGTCTGGATGATAAAGCTATGCGGTTTAAGAAAACGGATAAGAGGACATGCAAATTTAAGTGGTCGCACTACAGGTATCATTAGTGGAATAGTTCTTCTTTCGCTAAAGAAACTCATCGGAAGTATATACGCCTGTCAAAAAAAAAACAATTTTTGTGGCACGGATTTCTCCTTCAGATCGATCGGACTTTGCAAGCAGTCTGGATAGAATCACATTACTGACCGAAACTCCGAGACACGGAGAAGATAACCATCTTATGAAAGTGACGTGTTTACCAGTTCTGTGGACAACCGGTCATATTGGTCTGGGGAATTTAAGTGATCCAGGTGAATAACTCAGTGCTTGACTGCAATATTCCAATCTTTTCAGACGTAATATAAGACCTGGCGGGAAATTCGGTCCTACACCCCAAATAGTGGACAACGTGTAAAAACCAAGTCAACTAACTGCCTACACCCATACCCGGATTGAAAATTTATTGATATTTCTGTAGGAAAATCGATGAATGGGTGGGGATGTAGTTTGACACGATTGATTTGTTCAGCTGAGTGGAATTTACAAAGGACTGATACAGAAAACTCATTTGTGGATCGATAGAAAACCGACCGGTAGGTATGACGATAGCTGATCAAAGTTCAGAAATTTGGACATAAAAACTCTGGATGATAAAGCTATGCGGTTTAAGAAAACGGATAAGAGGACATGCAAATTTAAGTGGTCGCACTACAGGTATCATTAGTGGAATAGTTCTTCTTTCGCTAAAGAAACTCATCGGAAGTATATACGCCTGTCAAAAAAAAACAATTTTTGTGGCACGGATTTTCTCCTTCAAAGTAAGGAGACAAAGTGAATTCAAACGGCTTTGTGCTACGACCGCTATAAAGTTCATGATAAGATGGTCAATGGGTTTGTAGACAGACTTATAAAATGAGGAAACGTTTTTGCGGTAGCAGAAAGTAGGATGTAGCAACTAAATCACTGTCATGCTGACGGCGAATTCAAGGGGGCATCGTCAAATCAATCTGGATTGCACAATCGTTTCCACCCCACGGGACCCGAGAGAACTCGAGTAAATAAATTTTCGCTAGAGACAGGGAGATCTATGCCATGGAACCCTTGAAGGATTTTTAAGCTTTAGTAACCATTTCGTACCAGAACAACTTAATTACTTAGTGTAAGACGGTCACAAAAAAGGGAATAAAAATAAGACACTGTCGTTAAATCGATAGTTTTGATTGCACTCCATCTGAAATGCGGTTAGTGCGACAGATGAAGGCCAGGACCATTAAAGCCAACAATAAAAAGTACTTAGATCTAGTGATTCTACACAAAACTGGGGAAATTCCGGCAGAAGGCCGAGTCTGGTAACCTTTTCAGTACACTCAAAACGGCATGTACCTCGGAGAAACGACGGTCTACCAGAATCTTCGAGCATGTTCCGAGACTTCTGGCATTCAAAGTTCCAATGCCGCTGTTAAAGTTCCCCACCCTTTGACTTCTGAATATATATCTGCAACCCAGTATATATTCAAGATAAATATTACCTTCGATGTCTCACCAAAACAGAATAAAACCGGTAATGAAAGCTTAGTATCTACCCTTGTTTTCCGGTGGTGAGGTAGTGGGCATTTCCGTGTTCGAATTCCGATAACCAGTCGGCCCTTGGGTGCAACCTCTGAGCGTTATGAGGATGCCTCTTGTGTACATGTGCGTTCGTATGTCCACTAAGCTTCCAGTCACCTTGTCGTAACCTTTAAACAGAATAGACTAAAAAATGACTCCGCTCTATACTCGTGATTTCTCTCGCCCCAATCAATTTCCTGAGTGTGGAAAATCTCAAAACCCAAAATATGCACCAACGGGTTCAAAACTTCACTGGCACACATAAAATTGGCTTGCGGAAGGAGAAGTTGTACTGTAAGCAATGAGAATAAAAAATTTAAACAGCACCAGTGACGATGCCGGCTAACACGAGTGTTGAAAGATCGCGGTTTGTAAAAACGGCTAATACAAAGAGCATTTCAAGGCTTGACAGTTTGGGAAGAGTGAGTTGCTGGATATCGTCCAAAGGAGAGCAAACGTTATGCCTGAAATGTTGGGCCAACTAAATGCTAGAGACTATCTCAGAGGAGGGGGGAAAGTTGGGGACGTCGGACGAGAAAGGATCCACAGTGAGGTGAATGGCCCTAGTGTAGACACACTCGGAAAGGACACCTGACTTAAACATGATAACAGTATTTTAGGGGAGAAGGGAATCAACCTTCGTGAAAAAATAGAGAAGAACCTGAGATTAAATACAGTACCACCCAACCTGTTTCGAAAAAGGGGACAGAATGCCAATGCCACTGACTAGCCAGTAGATTATGACGTCACTGGCACCCCCTTAGCATGACTGTGAGGTGATCTTCCTCAGAGTCGAAACGAACCAACAAAACCCAGAAATTATTCTGAAGAACGTGAATAGCAAAGTTTGCCAAAACCCAGTCCGGTTGACAGACGCATTGGACGTCATTAAGCTAGGATTTTCATAACAATGAGAACAAATTTCTCTGTACGAGCTCCTCAGTGTGCTGCTTTTATCCTATTTTAGCCGAGTGGCAGATATCTTGCACGCTTGTATTTATCTTCATGCCAGCGTCTCTAGACGCTCATGCAAATTTGCCACAAATCACCCGAAAGTTCCATAGTGCCAGGTGTGCAACGTCATTCCTGGGTGGAGACGACCGTCCTCTCGAAACTTTAGAGAGACTGCTTGGAGAGGACAAGTACATCGCGCTATATACCTAAAGACCCTCCCTCCACAGTAACTCCGTCTCCGGTGGAATTGTTTGGTTGCTCATAACCACAGAATGGTTGGACTGCTCTTCTCCATCAGTTATGTGACCAAATCTACCCAACTTTGGTAAATTCGCGAAAGAAGGAAAGGAGTAAAATTCACAATAAGTAAATTTAGTGATATTTTTGGTGTTCTGCTTTGAAATGTGGGAACCAAAAGTACTCTAAGTGACCAATACCGATCGGGAAGCAGCTCCTTCAACAATCACTGGCCGTATCTGCTAGTTTTAGAGGGATCTTGAAGGTTGACAACAAGGAGGAAATGCTCTTCTGAAGAAAATTTCTCAAAAACGGAAGAGTTACGCAGCCGTCTCCGACGTGATATACATTTTTGTGAGGAACACGGCGCTTCTGGAAATTCTAACTTAGCCTCACATTCAAAGGTGAGTTGACACGTTCATTTTCCACGCCTACTTTACTACATTTGCAACTTGAAACTGGGGGAATCAAAAAAGAATGAACACACACTGCTTTTCTGTGTGTCGAAAGGACAAGTTTTAATAGTTCTAGCATTGTCATCGTCATCATCATCGATGGCGGCGCACGAGGATAATACCGGCGATCCGTTGCCGTGAAAAGCCTTGTAAACGAAAGAAATAAACGAATGGAAGACAGAAAGGGTGACCCGAGGCCAGTCTAATACGTCGGAAGTACCCATACCTCTAACACTCAGTAAGACAATCAGAACACACACTGACACTGATTGGCCGCAATATCCATCAATTCCCCCACCTAAGCACGGACAGAACGAACAGCACCAACTGTACATCCTTCATTCCCTTCTGTACGCAATATTTTGTCCACCTGCACGTGTCTGTCACACAAAATCAGACGAAACACGGTAGCTACACGTGTGTAGCACATGCCTAATCAACTTGGCTTGCAGTATTGGATGCATTCCTTGAGTGAAATACGGTCGGCTTCATCAAAGAGCCGTTCCTGATTACCAGTTCGCCGGTACCAAACCGATCCTAGCCGTTCAGAAGCATCAGTTCGCCGGTACCAAACCGATCCTAGCCGTAGTTCAGAGGCATCGGTTGTAAAAGACCTAGAGACGTCTCATATGCCCCAAGTCTCGTAGGTGGATAGCAATACAGCTTGCATTTCAGCTCAATAAACGAGTTTTTTGGAACTTATTTAGATTGGCAAATCCGCAAACGTAATTCCGACCTTTTGGACTC